TAAGTGAATAGTGCGAATTAATTTCAATGCATTCGATTTTATTTATATAAATCACAACAACAGTGACCCTACAATAATACCCGCCACTCAGATGACACCCTGTGAGCAAGCACTTCATGAAAGTGGGAGTGGAGTGAGAGTTGTTGGAAAAAACACACCATGTCCTCCAGGCTAAAGAGGAGAGGGATCGTCTTAGTTATTGTCGCCACGCAAAGCTTGCATGTCTGGTGCAAGGGTGCATCGGTTGCTATGGAATTGGCAGTTTGTAGATTTATTAAGGCATCATCAATGCTGAAATACATGGAGGCTTTAGAGCAACTTCCAAGTCACCTTTCTCAGGGAGGTCCTTGAACATTTCAGCAAAGACCATGCTAAATACCAAACTGCAGCTATTACAGCAGTGTCCAGATGCTGAACCGTACTGTCTGCAATCCAGACCTTTCACCAACTGAAAACATTTTGTGCCTCAGAAAAAGAAAAATACAACAAACAGCAGCTAAAATCCCACATCAGTCATGAACAACAACCTCCACCCAAACGAGCTGCAACTGGTCTCCTCGGACATCACAAGGAAAGGGGATGGCACACAGCTGTAAACGTGACACCGTCCCAGCTTTTTTCAGACGAGTTGCAGCCATGAAATTGAAAATGAGCTAATATTGTTGCTGAAATGTAGCAATTTGTCATTTTAGCATTTCATATGGATTCACTTTCTATTTACATTTTACACAGAATCACAACTTTTCTGCAGTCGGGTTTTTACCACGGAGAATGGACCATTCAGACATTTTATCTGTAAAAAAATGTTGCCTCAAATGTTGGCAAATAAATGAATTATAGATATATAACATAGCTTTTTGCAATATTTTGACAAGGTGCCTGTTCTGGAAGATTTTGGACTAGAGCCTTTTTTGTCTTTATCATTTTTGCAGTGTGCAGTATTTGGTTTTTTTGCTGCTAACTACTTTTGAACTGCCAACCACCTCAGCCATCTAACTGTCATGGTCCTGGGTCGTGCAACCCAGTGTTTTGAGTTTTAGTCTATTTTGATGTTTATTGTTTGTTTAGGTTCATTAAGTTATTCTAGCTCATTTGTTATTATATTACCCTTGTGTTAAGTCTCCCTTGCCCTTCATGTGTTTATGTCTGTGTGTCTTATGTTGCCAAGTTCATGTTGTCGTTTCTGTCATCGTCCCCTGTACTCAGTCTCCCTGGT